GCCGCGGCTGTGTAGGTGTGAGGCGATGTCAACTGCCGGACCGTTCGGGGACCAAAGGAGTCAATCCGAGCGTGTCTCGAGTGTGTCAAAAAACGGAGTATAATGGAAGAGATGGACAGGGGCAGTGTCCAATGTTGACGGCTATGCGTTTCGAGGCTCTGCCTCTTTGTCAAGCCTGAGTGGGGAATGCAATCGCATTCGGCTACGCGTTTCGAGGCTCTGCCTCTTTGTCAAGCCTGAGTGGGGAATGCAATGCCTTTGGTCCCCGAACGGTCCGGCAGTTGACATCGCCTCACACCTACACAGCCGCGGCTCAGCCTGGCCAGCTGAGACCGCGGTGTTTAAACGATCACCCCCGACAGCTATCAGACTGCTCTCCGACATCTCCGAATGAGCTGACATGCTGTATGCTGACACCGGCAACGTGAGTAAGGGTTTTTACAGTAGTGGCGCTTTTTCATTTTTGTGATTTTATTTAGCTTTGGGACATAGTAGCTCTTTTTATATAGTAAATCTTTTGACTGCCCCATGCTGTGTGTGTAGAAAACAGCTGACTGGTGATGTGACAAAACTGTCTCTGGCTCTTGGCTGTGTGCAGAGGCAGAGCGGTTGTCAACTAGACAGCCAGGGTGGATCCCAACCATGGTGTGGTTCTGCCCCGTCAGTTGATGGCAGGCCTTGGCCTGCTATCAGCTGGCTTTGGGAGGAGTACATGTAAATGTTTTTCCTGTGACCTGAAAGAAGCTAAGAAAATAATTTGACTTCACTTTAAGGCCCAGTTCACACTTTGGTGATCTTTTCTAATGGCACCCCAGTCGTGGCAGGCAGACTGCGCGGTTTCCCACCACAGTTCTGCCCTTGCAATTGCGGCTGAATAACTGCACGTCGCAAAAAAAGGTACATGGACCTTTTTTAAACGATTGCCACGCGGATATAACCCCATTGAAATCAATGAGGCTGCGCTGCAACCACGGTGTGCATGATCGCACACGAATGCATGGTCTCGGGTCGTGCATCCTGGGATCGCCCAGGTGGGAACCTGTCCTCAGGGCCACCCAGCTCCATTTATAGGGAGGTTAAAAAGATTTAAAGGGATTTTATCATTTTACCTTTCTTGTTCAGTGGTAAAGATTTTTTTTATTCAAATGCAGCACATTAATGGTTACTTGGTTCAAACCTTATTAACAGGCTGTTGAATTTGTGCATATAATGTCTCTTGGAAGAACTGTCACTATTTGTACAGATGAATTTGGGGATCTCTTACAAAGTAAGGATTTTGATCACTGCAATAGGTATTCAGCTTGAGACCTTTTTCATCTGCTGTTGCTAGAGCTGGAGTACTGGTTGGTTCTGTGACATGGGCGTACATTTAAACATAGTCTTTAAACCAGGGGTCCTCAAAATACGGCCCGCGGGCCAGGTCCGGCCCGCCAGGGTCCTTGGCCCGGCCCGTTCCCTACCGCCATTCCACTGAGTGCCTTATTGTGATAGCCAGGCAGCAGAACAGTTCACTTTCCCAAGTAATATGAGAAAAATGAATTACCCAATCAAATCCGGCCCGGTCTCTCCCACCCCCTTCCCCCGACGCTGACCAATGAGAAGTGCTATTTAGCACAGTCAAATACAGTTTTGATTAGGGATGCACCAATACAGAGTATTTGGGTGAGTACTTGTGTTTGCCCAAATACTCCGATACCTTCCCCATATTGGAACTTCCGGTCAGCTGAAGATTTCCTCTGACCGGCAGTGCTGTAGGGGAACATGGAGACAGCCTTCCGTGCAATCAGGAAGCCAGGTAGCATGTAATTACCCGCTGCCCAGATTCCTGATTGCCCAGGAAGCCTGCTCCATGCCAACAGAAGCACCGATACTCTATCGGCGAGTATCGAAAGCAAAATATCAGTACTCTTACTCAATACCCAAAAACCTATATCGATGCATCCCTAGTTTTGATTAAAACACTTTGTATTGGGACAAGTAGATTGTCATTAGGGCTGCAACAACTTATCGACATAATCGATTATAATCGATTATTGAAAAAGTTGTCAACTTTTTCAATAATCGATTAATCGGCTTCCGATCAGTTGGCCCTGTTCACGGCTCCACACATGCTGCACGCCACACCTCCTCCCCACCTCACGCTCCCAGACCCGCCCGCATCCACGCCGCACCTCCTTCCCGCCTCACACTCACCGCCCGCCCACATCCACGATCGGCACAGGCGCGCAGGGAGATGTAGTAAGGAGGAGCAGGAATTCATTGCTGTATAATTTTACACTTTCCTTTTCACTATATTGCACACCACACAATTTTTTTACTTCCACCGCTCCAAGCTTGCTCCTGTGATGGACTACAATCTCAATACAAACTAGTAGTCCATCACTGGAGCCATTTAAAAAAAAATGTATTTTATTGTTTATCCGATTAACCGATTAATCGAACGTAATAATCGGCTAACTAATCGATTTTGAAAATAATCGTTAGCTGCAGCTCTAATTGTCATAAGGGACAAGTGGATTCGGCCCCCGCTTTAGCCCTTGGTCAAGTAGTTTTTTTGTTGTTGTTTTTTTTAATTTAATTTCCACACCCCTGCTATTTGTAATGCAGGAGATTTATTGGTAAAACACCAACACTGTAGTAGATTTCTTTCTGTCTTCTTTTCTGTTCATTTATTGCATTTGTAGCAATTACAGCTCATTCCTACTGTTTCTTAAAGGAAGTATTAGGGGAGAGTAAAATATATTCTTCCCAATACTAAGAGCCAGCATGTGACTCTGCAGCTGTATAGAGGGAGAAAGGTGGAGAGAGCGATATACAGGTGAAACTCGAATAATTAGAATATCGTGCAAAAGTTAATTTATTTCACTAATGCAACTTAAAAGGTGAAACTAATATATGAGAGACTCATTACATGCAAAGCAAGATAGTTCAAGCCGTGATTTGTCATAATTGTGATTATGGCTTGCAGCTCATGAAAACCCCAAATCCACAATCTCAGAAAATTAGCATATTACATGCAATCAATAAAACAAGGATTGTACATAGAACAATATCGGACCTCTGAAAAGTATAAGCATGCATATGTACTCAGTACTTGGTTTGGGCGCCTTTTGTAGCAATTACTGCCTCAATGCGGTGTGGCATAGAAGCTATTAGCCTGTGGCACTGCTGAGGTGTTATTGAAGACCAGGATGCTTCAATAGCGGCCTTCAGCTCTTCTGCATTGTTCGGTCTCATGTCTCTCATCTTTCTCTTGGCAATGCCCCATAGATTCTCTATGGGGTTCAGGTCAGGCGAGTTTGCTGGCCAATCAAGCACAGTAATCCCACGGTCATTGAACCAGGTTTTGGTGCGTTTGGCAGTGTGGGCAGGTGCCAAGTCCTGCTGGAAAATGAAGTCAGCATCCCCATAGAGCTAGTCTGCGGAAGGAAGCATGAAGTGCTCCAAAATCTTCTGGTAGACGGCTGCGTTGACCCTGGACTTTGTGAAGCATAGTGGACCAACACCAGCAGATGACATGGCTCCCCAAATCAACACAGACTGTGGAAACTTCACACTGTACTTCAAGCATCTTGCAGTGTGTGCCTCTCCATTCTTCCTCCATAGAAGAAAATAGTCCAAGAAGACTTTGGACCACTGAGCAACAGACGAGGTCTGTTTTTCTTTAGCCCAGGTAAGACACTTCTGACGTTGTTTGTTGTTCAGGAGTGGCTTGACAAGAGGAATACGACATTTGAAGCCCATGTCCAGGATCCGTCTGTGTGTGGTGGCTCTTGATGCACTGACTCCAGCCTCAGTCCACTCCTTGTGAAAGTCCCCAACACTTTTGAATGGCCTTTTCCTGACAATCCTCTCCAGGCTGCGGTCACCCCTGCTGCTTGTGCACCTTTTATCTTCCACGCTTTTCCACATATCTTTCTATTAATGTGCTTTGATACAGCACTTTGGGAACATCCAACTTCTTTTGCAATTACCTTTTTTGAGGCTTTCCCTCCTTATGGAGGGTGTCAATGATGGTTTTCTGCACAACTGCCAGGTCAGCAGTCTTTCCCATGATTTTGACTTCTACTGAACCAGACTGAGAGACCATTTAAAGGCCCAGGAACCCTTTTGCAGGTGTTATGGCTTAATTAGCTGATTAGAGTGGGACACTTTGAGCCTAGAATATTGCACCTTTTCACAATATTCTAATTTTCTGAGATTGTGTATTTGGGGTTATCATGAGCTGTAAGCCATAATCATCACAATTATGACAAATCACGGCTTGAACTATCTTGCTTTGCATGTAATGAGTCTATCTCGTATATTTCACCTTTAAGTTGCATTAGTGAAATTAACTTTTGCACGATATTCTAATTATTCGAGTTTCACCTGTAGATATATGGAGAGAGAGAGGGAGAGATTCAAATACATTTTTTATTTTGCGGAAGGGCTATATACAAATTTTATTTTAAAAGTATTTTATCTAGCATTCTTCAGAATATGTTCTTGCAGATGCATTTTCCATCTTTCTTGGATTGCAGAATTCGGTTTCAGTAATGTTTCTTGTACATAAAATACAAAGTATACATTCATGATCAAACTTTTTTTTAAATTAATGGTAAAAGTATGAGTGAAACTGCAAAAGTGTCAGATATAGTAGATACTGACATTGAAGTAATGTGATACAATGTGTAAAAAATGAATGAAGAAACGCATGAAGAAACGCATGAAGAGCTTGAAATTATGATACTCGAAGAGGACTTCGATATAGTGGGTATATCGGAGACCTGGCTAGACGGCACACATGATTGGGCTACTAACATAGAGGGGTATAACCTATTCAGGAGGGACAGATGTGGGAGAAGGGGGAGGGGTTTGCATTTACGTTAAAAATCTAAATATGCATATAAGGGACGATATCACGTATATCTAACTATTTAACATGTATATAACATGCACCTTAGTGTAAATGTAATTGCTACAAACTTTTTTTAAACATTGTTTTTTTCTAAATATAGGTTTAAGATGGATACAGCAGAAGAACCTCAAAAAAAGATCTTTAAAGCTCGTAAAACTATGAAAACAAGTGACCGCCAACAGTTAGAAGCTATTCATAAAGCTAAAGAAGACCTACTGAAGCCTACAGAGCAAAAGCTTGTTAACGGAAACCATGAAAATGGTGACTCGGACATGAATTCTATTCATAATGAAACAGACTCTTTGGAAGATAAAAGTGACTTAAATGGTATTGTAGATATCAAATGTGACAGCAGGCATGTTGTGAAAGTCAACCTGTCTGACCTCAAGGAAGGCTTAAGAAATGTTGACCAGGATAGTGACCTTAAGCTCCCAGCTGAACTTAATCTTCCTAAAAGTATAGCTTGTGAAGATACAAGCAGAAATGTTACTGGTGGAGAAGATATTCAGACCTCTGTGGATATAAGTGATCCAAAGCTTGATGAAAATATTTCTGCCCTTGAAGCTAATGACCAAATGGTTTCAGAAGGGTTGTCAATGCTTGAGAGCTTATCTGGTGATATTGAGCTTTCAGAAGCACAATCAAATGTTCCCATGGAAGATGGCCTCATTGTTGCAAAGGACTTAAATGACTTAAAAGATGTAAATCCTGTAGTAAATTCTGTTGAGAAAGAGTGTGCAGATGCAGGCACATTTGAAAACCTACTTAGTGATAAAGTAGAGACTGCAACAGAATTGCATAATCTGGAGTCTCTTCATGCAGATTGTGATAATGTAGACAACCAGGAAAACTCAGATAAGAACTATCACAATGAGAAAGATGAAAAAGAGTTTCAAGGCAATGAAATACAAAACGCCGAAGAGAATAATGGGAAGGAAGAGATCGTAGAGGCAATACATCTTCAAGAAAACTTGACAGATATGGACGTGGCAGAATCTGAGTGTTCTTCAGAGGCAAAAAATGAATGCCAAACATTGGACATTCCATCACCACAACAGGATGTTGAAGAAGCCATATCCAGCAGCATGGAGGTTGACCATTCTTTGAAATCTATAGAGCAGAGTTCCCCTCTTGCAGAAGAAGCCTCTCTTGATAAAACCGTTTCTGAATTGGAGCAAGGTTCTACATTGGAGTGTCTAGATACTATGGAAACTGATGAAATTATACCTATTCTTGAAAAGCTGGCACCAGTGCATGATGATTTACAGTGCTTTTCTAAGTCCGTATTGCACTCAGAAAATTCTGTTGCTAATCAAGAAAAAGTTGAAGACTCTACAGATTCTCCTACCAAAAATGACGTCAGTGAAAGTTTACCAAGTGAGGCATTTTTAGTTCTTTCTGATGAGGAAGAACCTTGTGAAATTACACCAGCCCAAGAAATCACAAGCAATGATGATCAAGGTGATTTTGATTATGAAACCGCCATGCATTCTGCCAGGTCCAGAAAAACACACGAATCAGAGATCCATTTCACTGGACCTGATCGTGCCGAATCTGGGGTAATCCTGATGTAAATGGACACATGTCCTTTTTACATCCGATTCCCCATAGACTGACATTGGGTCTGGCAGTTTCAGTTCTTTCTGTGTGAAACGGGGCATATAGAGATACTTTATTCTTATTTTTTTTTTTTTAAACTATGGCTCAACCTTTTTTAGCCATAGTTCTCTTTTAGTGTCACAGGAGGAAATTTACTTTTGTCCTCCTGTGACCCTAAACTCTGCATATAGCGGGCTATTGCCGGCTGTATGCTGACACAGCTGCACTGCAGCTGGGAAAGATGCTGACAATATTGTCAAGATCCACCTCGCTGCCTGATTGATAGCTGGTTCTACCTCTCTAGAGCCAGCAGTGCCCGCTCCCTCCATCATCTGTCCCTCCAGTAAGTGCTGGAGCAACAGGGAAGGGGAGGATCCCTATGGGGAGCGGTGACTGACAGTCACCTCTCTCGGCAGGGAGAAGATCAGGAACTGGGCAATCAGCGGTGTGTGATTTCTCGATCTGTAGAGCCGACGTGTGATCGATTCAGTGTCGCACGTCGGTTCTAATTATGTGGATGAGTGTATTTCACTCTCCCCATAATTCTCCTTTTTAATATGGGGTTGGTTTTCTGGATTTGTGGAGCATTGAAAAATGCATAATGCCCAGCAGCTGGTATTCTTTGATTACCAGAATCTGGGACAATTAGCTGAGCGCTCATATTTGTTATAAAAGGGGCAGTTGCAATTTCCTTTTGAAAGTATTTGACTTAACCAAATTGGGAGTGGTTCAAAGATAACTTCACTACTCTTTTTACTTTTAACTGTATAATCTAGCTGTGTTTATTTTAGTTCAGGCTAGTGATGGGAAATGGGTAGCCTGGATAATTAAAAGCAGTCATGTTGTGAAGAATTAATCTATGCAAATAATTTATACTTCCTTAGTATTACATTGCTTATAAACATGCTGACTTGATCTTCCTAAATAACACGGTGGGAGGTGCTGGTATGCAAGCGCTACTGCTTACCCAAGTATAGTAACATAAATTTTTTTTTTTTTTTATCTTGACCTTCGGCAGTATTAAAAAGAACTGAATTCTGGTTGTTTTGTCCTATTATAGATTCTAGTAAACATATTACAACTGAAGCAGCAGTAGTTGAAGATCAACAGAAACCGCAGGAAAATGCATGTAATGCAAAAGGCGAGAAGGGTAAGTTTGCATTACTGAACTTGGTACAGTACTAGTCTCACACCAAGGATATGGGATTTTTTGAGAGTGCAGTATAGAAAGTTTTATGGCTCCAGTACCTAGAGATTTTAAAGTGTGTTTGGTATTCATATCCAATAAATTATAATGGTGTTGGTACAAGTTGTCTCATTGCCAGGCAGGCAACTTCTACACTCCAGAGGATTCCCAGTTTCCTTGTTTTGTAGTGCAAATCTAAGATTGAACCACTAGACCAAAAATGATATATAAATAAGGGTATACAGTGGGATAACAGGTAAAGGTCTTTTCAGCAGCTGTTTTTTTTAAAGTCTTTGCTATGGAAGACCACATTACATAGAAAGGGTTTCAGCCCTTCCCTACTCAAGCAAAACAATCTTCTTTTTTTTGTGTGTGTGTATGTAAACACACTTTACCCCTTTTGTTTCCAGAGCAGTTTTTGCATTTTTGTTTTTTCCAACAAATGTTAAAATGCACAGTTTAACAACCCCCACCCCCCTCCAGGATTATTTATTTCCTGAAATTTGATACCCTGTAGAATACAATGTTGAGTCACATATTAGTGCAACTGTTTCTCAAACCCAAATTTTCAATCAAAAATACATTTGTTCATTTTAGGGCACATAAACACAATGGAATACCCAATTTTTGGTAAAATATAAGATGAAGTTGAGCCAACTAAATGGATGCCAAACACATTGAGCTTCAAAATGTGTGCGTCTGTGAAATTTCAGACACTACGGTACCCAAAATTGTCTATAGGCAACACTTTAAAAGCTTTTACAGGCCGTCAATTTAGAGTTACCAGTGAATAACAGAATTATTGCTCACTCCAGCAAAGGCGATAATGAAGACGTGGTGCAACTGTCTTTTTTTTTTTTTTTTTTTTTGTATGTAGGTGCATTCAATATTATTGCCATCCTATAGTGTGCTAACATAGGTGGGTGCATGTTTCAGAACCTGTGGAAGTGAGGCGACGGCTTTACAGCCTGCCCAAAGTGCTTCCATTGTAAAGCAGACAGTCGTCTTCCGGCTGTTTTATAGGGGGCCGTTGCTGCCGACATGACATGGTCATACAGCAAAAAAATTTAATTAAAAAATAAATCTAGTTTTGATTCATTACAAAGGTGCAATTAACAGAATGGACATTTAGGGTCAGTTTAACCTTTTAGCTGCAGCTATTTTCTGTAGTGGAAGTGATTCGGGTGGCTGTACATATGCCGTACAACTTGCTTAAGCAGTGCGTCTCTAACTTCAGTAGTGCGGCTAAATCGACTGATTGGGAGTCATGTAGTTACTGCATAAAATTGGGGAAACCTTTAAAAAGTATTACTTTCCTATAAAAGTTAATAGAAACCAGTTACAAAATTTAATTTGGCCAACCTAACCTCTTTAGTGAAAAAGTTGGCAGAATACTAGCAATTAATAGTACAGTGTGCACAGCCCAGATGGGATGATAACCGCAGGGCAGAAAAAATGCCAACCGCCATGGCTCCTAAAAATGTGTTCTGGCAACCTGGTCATCGACGTCTCTATTTGCCTTCTGAAGTGCATCTTGGTTTTTTTTGGTGTGCCTCGATGTAAGCATGTCTCTGTATAATAGGAGCCTCAGTAAGGAGTCTGTTCCTACAGCCCTAGTGTGTGCGTGCGTGTGTCTCTAACCTAGTGTCTTGTTTGTGTCAGTTAAATAACATAATTCATGTATAAATTAATATACAAAATAAAATTGAAAACCTATTAAGATGTGTATTAATAAACAATTAATTTACAGTATTATAACTTTAAAAAAATGTTTATATACAGTGGGGCAAAAAAGTATTTAGTCAGCCACCAATTGTGCAAGTTCTCCCACTTAAAAAAGAAAAGTTTCCTAGGGGGTTTCAGCCGTATAACAGCCTTGAAGA